CCCTGGACGAGCGTTTAAAGGGCGACGGTTGCACAGAGAGAATCGCACGTGCGTGTTTGCCACGATCGGCGATGCAATTATGCACACTGGTCCCCCAGCGTACTCGTCGGCGTTGTGACGCTTCGCTTTCTGAGACACACGGGGCTAAGGAAGGAAAGGGCGAAACTCGGTTGCCCTCCGGGGGATACGAGAGGCGAATGCAATCGTGACGAGGTCGCGTACCAGACCCCTGTACTCGGTTAAGTACACTTTATTAAGCATGCCGTCTGCGCGTTGCAGCATCCACTTACGTGGTAAATGGAATTACAAACGCATCCCGCCGCCTGTGGATCCCCGGGTTGCGGCTGACACCTTCTGCGCCCGGCTTACGCGTACACACGTTAAATGAACGATCACGGAGGCGTTATGTTTGCGCGATCCTTCCGGCCCTGGATTTCGTGGTGACTCGATCAAAATTGCCCGACTGCTTTAACCGGGGAAAAATTGGACGAACTGAGTTCCTTGGACGACCTGTTGGCTTTGACTCGACGAGAATCGTCCACAAGAAATGGGAAACCTTTGCTGGTACAAAAGGGGTGAAGAGTTTGCGGTAACAACGTGGCGAGTTCACTCTGGAACTTTAAATGTTGACACTGTGACTTTCTGGTAGAAAAATATTGTAGAATTGAAAAATCTGAAATGAGAGAAGCTTTTCTTACGAAGCTTCATTTCTGAGGGAATCCGTGATCAAGATCTCACTTATGCTTACAGACTCTACACTGATGCTATTTAGCAATTATTAGGTCATCCCGTAAGTTAGTGTCAAATTTTATAATTTGGATCAATACTTCCAACGAACCTTTAAATTTGATGAAAAGAATAAAAACGTGAGCGCTTTATTCCACAACCATTATGTGATCACTGTAGAATTTTCTTAGATTTTCGTTAAAATATGTTCATGGAATGACCTAATATAAGTCCTACTTTACGAACTTCTTCCGCGTGGCGAATTTGAGGACATAGGTGAAATTGTGCGCACCTGCCCTACCCAGAATTCGAAATCATCTGTACCTCTAACAAGAGCCAGTACACCAACACCAGAATCATTATCATTACACTAACTCTCTCCGTACCTAAAGCTACAATTCCTCCTTTAAACTCTCCACCGAGCAACTATTTTCGCATGCCATAATTTAGCGGACTTTCGTGATAACCACTTTCCGAGCCATCAATCCAGCTCGACCGCGAATTCGTGCGTCTATCAGCGATCGAAAGTTGGTTTCTCGTGCGCTCACTCAAATGAACTATAATTCGTCGGCGTGGCTCGCCGAGCGATGGAAAGGGGGGGAGAAGGGTGATGAAAATTCCGCGGCGTCGGGGGGGGCCGAATTCAGCTTCGATCCGGCGAATTACTGGCGAAGGACGCGAGGCGTGGCTCGTTTATCAAATTCGCCCAGTATGCGCTGCATCAAAGACAGAACCGTTGATTTATTAAATTGCGGCTGGATGAAACCGTGACTCCGCCGCGGAAAGAGGAATCTATTAACGGCGAATTCGACGTCACGAGACGTCGTTTACGTCGCCCGACGACGACGACGACGACGCGACGTCGAGGAGGGGGCGGAGTAGACGACGCTCGAAGACAAAATTATTAAAGTTCGGTGTATACACATTTATCTTCCGTCCGATGTTTGCGCCGCTGAGACGAGTGCGCGCGCGAACTTCTTCCGGTAAATACGGCCCCGTCCGTCGAAGCTGATGAAAAGCGACTTGTTTACCTCGTCTCCGCGCCCCGTTGACTTCCGGGACAGCGACGAAAAAAGTTTCATTGGATGGCGGACGAAGAGAGATAGAAAGAGGGGGGAGAGCCCGCGTGTACTTAAGGCGGCTTCGACAAAGAATCCTTTATTTTAAAGGTAGAAAGTTCCGTGAGGACCTAAACCATCCCTCTTCCTCCCTTCGTCAATGGTGAAACGAGCATCCGACCGGGTGTTTGCGTTAGGGCGGAGAGAAAGATCGTCGCGTTGATTATTGGAAGATCCTGAAATTAGATCCTTTTTTGTTATACCTGCTGATGTTTTCTTCTTCTTCTTTTTTTTTTAATCAGCTGTTTGGCGAATTGCGATAACAGGGGACGGGAAGTTCTTCAGAAATTATAGCGATCTGGAGATTTGTTTTGCGCCCTTGGTAGCTATATTCAAGATATTTTGTTTTCTATGAAAAATTGGTATTTGGCAAATTGTGTTAGCAAGGGAAGAGAAATTGTTCGGAAATTTTATTAATCTGTGTCGTAGTAGCTATACTCAAGAATTAGGTATTGGGTTGGCCAGAAAGTTCGTGCGGTTTTTCAAGTCGGCTAACGTAACCAAGTTGATGCAAACGATTTTCTACGGTTGTTTTTGATACTTGGAGCTCCTGTGCCACTTCCCGTGTTGTGTACCGAGAATTATTTTTTATTTGTTCGTTGTCAATCTCTTGTGGTTGACCAGAGCGTGGTGAATCGTGAAGTGAAAAATCCCCGGAACGAAATCTCGCAAACCACTTTTGGCATACGCATTCTTCGATGACATTCTCCCCGTACACCTCACAGATCTTCTTAGATGCTTTTGGTTTTCCATCTTCCAGCTTCCGCCAAACTTACCAATTGAACTGGATTAACAAACTCTTTAGATATAATTTGAGGTTAAGTGTTACCTATCATATGACTATCTGCTTTAAACAAAGAAACTAAAGTTAGTTGCACTTTGGAACGCCTGAATTGAGGAATCGCCAGAATACGCACGAACTTTCTGGCCAACCTAATATTTGGCAAATTGTAATACCAGAGGAAGAAAAACGTGGCAGTTTCCTATGGCGAATGAAATTATTCGAAATGAAACTTTTTTGACATCGAACAAATTTCCTCACTGCAACACTCTATTTCCACCCAAAACTCCCCTAATCACCTGTTCCTACTCCCACTATTCTCCGCTCCTCTCGCAACGTTCACCGTCTTCTTAATCTCCGAAAGACATCCTCGTGAACGACCGAAGATGCATTCTTCCGCCAGCGATAATTAGATCCTAAACGAAGCGAGCCGCGCAGCTTAAAAATAAAGCAGAACGATCCGCGTCTAGAACTCCCGTCGCAACGGACGTCCTCGAAACAATCATTAATTAGATACGCCACGAGGCAAGGACGTCGAGCAAAAGCTGGCCAGGTAGGCGGAGGGAGAGATGGACGCAGGTGTTGCTGGGGCCAGCAACGACGATTCATCGAGGAACGGAGGAGTAGGAGAGTGTATCCCTCCTTGAAAGTAAATCGGAGGAGTAAGGCTGTTCCTCGGCCGGAAATGAGGCTTGCCAAGCACAATCTCCGGTCAGGGAGGGCCTCTCCATTTTGTTCATTGTGATGTGTCCGCCATAATTGAAAATGTCCGCGCGGACTCGTGGGACTTTGCGCGGCGCGCTTCCCTTTCTTCGAGCAAACTCCGCCGTGGTAGCCTGTCCTCCTCCACCTCCTCCTCCTCTTCACCCTGTTCCAGTCGGATCGCGTTATTATTGTCGAGGGACACAATAGCCTCGTGAACGTTCACAATCGGGGGAAACTCGCGTTTAGTCCGCGGGCCTCGCGGTTCGCTGCCGTTCTATGCAAATGCCTCCTCCTCGCCTTCCCTCCCCTTCTTGTCCAACAGAAGAGACGTTCCCTTCTTTTCGCCGCCGATTGTTCTCCGCCTCGAGATACTTACCTACCCACCACTTGTGAGAAATGTGATTTTGTTAAAGTGTTCTCGTAAAAATGATTTCCAGATGTGTTATCCCCGGGGTTTGAATGCCCTCGCGTTAGCAGAAGCTTATTGCTGTCGATAATGCGAGAGATCGATGCTGGTTGAAAAATAGGGGATGGTTTGAGTGTTGCTGCGTGCTTACGGATATTGGTGGAATAGAGCTGTCATGATTTTGGGTGAAATTGATATTCGACTCGTTTGTTAACTGGAAAATTGAATCTTCTGAATTCGTGGGTGGAAATTGGTCGAATTTTGAATAATTGTGTTGTTTTGGTTCTTGGTGAGGGAAATGAGGGTAGAATAGAAGGTAGAATAGAAAGCAGAGGATCTCCGAATTGATAAGTACCGATCACTTGACCGAGTTAACTGATCGCTTGTAATTAACCTCTTGCCTTATAGCAACGAGTCAGACATGTGGCTTAAATTCTGGTCGAAGTGTGACAAAAAGGATCTAACTTTCTTTTTAATGTATCAAACTGAGGATTGCCAAAAGTAATTCGTCTATAGCACATTAGCTTTTCTTACTTAAAACAGTACGTAAACAATAAATAGATGCATAGTCGGTAAAAGAAATCATAAGTCAATGGATTAATAAATCCTGAAACATTTCTTCTTGCCTAACGTCCAGTTCACAACTAATACTAATTACAGCAAAAACAAAGAACAACGAAGTCACCAAAATAAAATAACACCAAATTATTCTCATTCTCCATCTCGCCTCAGTTAATAACCCGAAAAGTGAAAAAGAAAAGCAAAAATATCAGCCGAAAAAGTATCTACCGGTGCTTGATACAGGTCTGACGTTTTTCATTCGTGCTCTACCGATACTGTAGATCGTTTCTTCGCGGAGGCATCGATCGATGTTGACGACGGGCCAATCGGCCATTAAGTATATCCTGTCGGTCGATTGCAAAAAAGCAGGCGACGTGCAATCAATCTTCCATAAGTCGAAGCCTCGAAGAAACACTCGCTTCGTTCCATCGAGCGGTCGATCGTACGAGGAAAATGGCGGGCGTGTGTGTATACGAGAGTGAAATCTCTCGCGCGACGTGTCGCAAGAAATCGTCCGATCGAGATTCTCGAAACATCGGATAGGTGTGCGCGAGTAATGGTTTCATCGACGGAGAACAGGAAAGCGAGTTTCTTACGCGTTGAATTTTTTCTCATCGAAGAATGTGTCGCCTCGATTTTTATCCCGAGTTCTATAATAGAAACGTGCGAGCCAGCAGCTCATAGATCTCTTCTTTGGTTCCAGGTAGCAGTGAAGAGTCGAGACCTGGTGGCGGGGATCCTGGAAAGTTGGGAGTGAAGAAACCAAGACCGAAGGCTTCGTCGCCCAACCGACAGGGACCACAGCAATGCCAGGTAAGGAAGCTTTTGTTTCTTTGTTTAACCCTTTCGCTGTTGAAGATGCCTGGTACCTGTACTGTCCTACGTTTTCCTTCTTTTTAAATATACCACTCTATGAATAATCTACGTGTGATCTTCCTTTTTCGGAAGTTTTATGGAATTTTGAAGGGTTTTCAAACAAAAATGTACGTATTTTTGTTGCTGAATGTCGTCGTTGTAATTCACAGCGAAGGGGTTAAATATACGAGTAGAATAATCCTTCGGTATACAGTGAGAATTACCGGTGCAAAATATGGATGATAAATCTTCCAAAATTGTGCAATTAGTTGCTAAAAAAGTTGAGACACTGATGGAATGTGTTAGACATTATACAAAAAGGGTCGGTGCAACTATGGCCATAAGCGAGTATTTACGTCCTGAAGTAAATATTAAGTAAAGTTTATTTTAGAAAAATATTTTTCTTCTAATTCGAGGGCTTTAGTGTAGATATTAGACGAAGTTGTTACAATTGTATCACTCATTTGTGACATACCGGTGTGAACCAAATTTCACTGTACAATTATCAGCAGTTTGTAACAGTAATTTCATATTTTAAATAGTAATATCACGAAGTTTCAAATCACTTCATTGAACTCTGTTCTTCCTTTAATTTATACAAAATCATCATCTTTGTGTTTCGACTTCCCTTTCTAAAATCGGGAAACAAAATCGAGTCGTTCTATCGCTCACCGCTAAATTAAATTAAATATTTAAAAAATTAATATACGTAGCATTAAATTGAACATTTAAAAAATCCACTCTAACCGTAATCGCACTTCTCCTTCGACGCGTGAAAGCTGCAAAAGACGCTACTGTTCGTTCGATGGTTAAACTCGCGCGGAACAGACAGGACAAAAGAAGCGAGAAGTCGAAACACGCTTTAATGTCAGAGTTGGAATCGTCGTCCCGGTCCGATCACCGTCCCCGATGACGTTCGTTTGACAATTTTATTAACTCGTCAGTTCGCCGCTGCAAAGAGAATTTCCAGTGAAATCGCGGAGAACGGAGGAACAGTTCATTAGTGACACGCGGACGATCGAATTAGAAGGTCGATCGATAGCCAACGAAGTGTGCTCGCGAAACCACAAGTCCACAAAATCCACGCCGGCTTACCGAGCCCGTGGCCTTTATTCTCTCGTTTCACGTTTTTTGCTCCGCCATTGTTCCCCCTTGCTCTTTTTTTCTTTTTACAGTTCTTGTTTCCCGAGACATTTTACTTTTCATTTTTTTCTCTCTTTTTGTTCCTTTACGATTCTTCCGCTACCCCTTCTGCATTCTGCTGTGTTATTTTTCGTTTCTCCCGCCCCTTTTGTTTTTTTCCTGCGGTTTTAGTATCGGTATATTTGTCCGACTTTGTTTTTTTCTCTCTCTGTTTATATTCTTCGTATCTGTGTGTTAATGCTCGTGGTCACGGCGATGAACTTTCAAGCTTTGTGGATGTTTGCACGATGTTGTGCCGTCTAGATACTGGTTCGAAGGACCAAATGTTTGGGACTTGTAAAAACTGATCTATGGTATCGCGTGATGTGAGCTGGTTGCTCCTTGGTTCTCCTTGTTCGTGGTGGTTGAACGACTACTCCCCTTCCAGTGCGCCCTTAGCGCGTTGTCACCTTGGAAGGGTGGGAGACGGTCGCGAGGGGTGGGCGGAAGGTCCCAAAAATCTGGAATTTCCTCCGGGTGACTAATCGGCAAGCGGACCGTTACATACAGATGTGCCGTTCGGAAATTCGTGGTTTATGGTATGTTCGTAGGCTATTGAGCGCGAGGGACACAAATTACTAAAAATCTAGCAAAGCGATTCTAGTGGCCCTCGCAGGATGTAATTAGACCCGTGCAAGCAATAAATGAAAATCCTCAACTAAAAAATAATCGTTCCCGGTCGATCGTGCCATAAACCGTTTCTGCAGAAAACCTAACACTGTGTGTATCTACGTGTACGTGTAATTGTTCCGTTTCTGCTTTGGGTAAAAATAGTCGGAGCTGTTGAACTTGTCGTTGACTTCGAATCGATCTGGATTTCCTCGGGGATGAAATATACGAGGATTAGGAAATTATGAAAAGCTGAAAGTTTGCAGAGTATTTCGTATTTTTCCAGAGAAGAATAGTCTCGTTTTGTAAACAATTATTGCACGAGAACGAATAACGTGTAATTGTTGGTGTGTTGTTTCGTAATTACTCAGTCGCGTCCTCGCGTTTCTGAAACGTAACGCAGTTGTTTTATTTCAAGACTGGAGATTTATCTGTGTAACCACAGCACAATTAGGCCAGAAGTTCAAGGCCATTTCAGTACCGTCTACTTCGTTAGTCGTATCCGATTTGATTTCTATCTCCAATTTGTGAACAAAGTCAAGAGAAATATCGGGACGAGATCTCTTCATCTGCAATTCAGATCTGTCTATTGGCCGTAACTTCGATCGATGCGAATGATAAAAATGATTCCTCGAAAGAAGAAAACGAACCGGATTAATCCGTCCGAAATATTTCACCGCGTGTGAATCAAAATGGGGATTAAAAATCGTTGAATTCGACGTTGTTCGACGAATTTTTATTTCGACGCGAAATGTACGAAATACGAATTATCGAGAATGATTTTTATTACAACTTTCTGGCACCATTGGGCGATCGAAAATTACGCGAATCTGAAACGAGACGTACTCGAAGTTAATGAAAATTAGAGAAAGAGAATTACGTCGAGTGGGAGTTTGAAACACGACAAACGAAAATTTCCCCCCCTTAATTCGTTGAAAACCAAGACAAACTGTTGGAAATACCATAATTCAATTAAACGTTATTTGTATTGTCGAGTGCGCTGCGTAACCGGTTAAACGCTCGAACGTTTCGATTAGACACAGATGACTCTGGGATAAATATCGGAACGACTAGATTGGTGCAATCTCTGTTAATTTACGTTACGGCAAATTTCCTGTACGTTGATAATTAAACACGTTCACTGCGTACGACGCAAATGAACATAAACTGATTTTCGAACGCAGCCAGCTCAGTCAAAGCATTTAATTTTATCTCTTTGAAGCAAGATATTCGCCATGTCAAAGCGAGAATTCGGATTCACACTAATTAAACGCTGTTTCTTAGATGAGAACTGCTTTTCAAGTAAATACCGCCGGCCGTGCAATTTCTCATAAAAACATGCTTAACTTTTTACGCTCTCTTCGTTTTTGTTTAATTCTCGCAGGAAAGAAAATGTTCGAAAAATTTGTATTTCTCGGGAAAGTACAGATGTCACGTACGTTTTTATAATTTCAGCAGCTTTCAGGATTACGAGTTATCGCTTTTTAATGTTAAAGAAACAAGGTCGATGTACTTTCTTACGGTCGTTAAATTCACGTTACTTTCAATTTTGCGTCACAAGTAGAACGCATTAATATTGGAAAAATGTTGATGCACGCAGTGCCGTATTTTAATCAAATTGGCATTCTAAGATCTCCAGCTAGGGGAACGAAAGAAGCTCGATTTGTGCAATTTTTAATTTTCTCCGAGCAAGTCGCATTTCTGTATCAATTTTTAACTTAACCCCAGCAAATATTAATAACGCGAGAGAAATGTAATCATTAATTATCATATCGTTCTTACATCACGAAATCTCGCTATGGAGATTTTCTCTGAAACCGTAACCCTTTCGCTACTGATGACAAATATCCAACCACGATCGCAAAATTTTTATTTTTGCCCCATCCTTTCGAAATTTCTTTTATTAAATTAAGATGAAAGTGCACATATGACAAAATTAAGATGGAACCATATACGTCAGAAGGCTGCGACAGCAAAGTTGGAATTAAAGTAAAAACGACCATAGGTACGCTTATTTCTCTGAAATTAACCCTTTCACTGTGACAGATTTCAATAGATTTCACTACGTAAACGGTAAATTCGGCTAAAAAATTCGTCGTCTTGGCCGTATCGTTTCAAAATTCGGTCTATGCACGAAGGATACAATTGAGATAGAAGTGAAGTGCACAAAAAGCTCCAAGCAACACAGTGCAAATAACTGTCTATAGGTCTCGCTACCGCGAAAGGGTTAAAAGACACTATCATCTCCATACCAAACCACTCGATCAGAGTTGCATCTCGTTATCGAAACGCGTGGCACGCGTGCGTGTGCGTGCACGCATGACCCAGATCAGTGGGAAACGGCGGCGTCGCGACAACGCCGTCTGTTTATGCAGGCGAGCTTGCAACGGCGAAACTGGTCGTTGCACACGTGTGCACACGCAGAGCAGGACACACACACACAAGAACAGTGTGTAACGCGGAAAGGCTGTTGAATATTCAGGCGGCGCGATCCTCGAGCCGCCTCGTCGAGTATAACACACGAACGCAATATCTCTTCGTCGCGTAACCGAGTAGCGCAGTTACGTCAAGGACCATTTAAGGGGGCGGTGCTGTTTTTTCCTTTTTTGTCTTTGCACGCCGCGTTTAAGTTACGTCACGCGCGAGTTACTCTCGGTGGGTGGAGACGTTCGAGGGGATGAAACGGCGTAATTTTTTGGTAATTGCAGCGGATTCAATGGGAACGTTGAAAATTGCAGGATTTTTGTCGGTGTTGCTTCCTTTCGAATGGTTTTCAGGATGTACAAGTGTGACGGCAAAATTTTGTGAATTGATTTGATAATTGAAGTGACGTGAGGACGTCGAGTGTTCATAAGTTTCCTCGTGATCCATTGATAGGAAGTTTTATTGTCTTATGGAGGTCCTTGATATTTTGCAAGTTTTAGAAATTTGGATTTTAGAAGATTTTAGGAATTTTGGGAGATTTTTCAGAAATTTGGTATTTAAGAAAATAGTGAGCAAGCTAGGCTATTATTTTTATCTGTTCCGTATTAAATAACAAAATATTAATATTTAGAAAATGTAAAATGTATAATACTAAATTTATGTTCTATTCGATATCGTTACAGAAAAAACTATTAAAATCACTCTTATAATAATAAACGAACGACAGATTTGATTAGCATCCA